TATATATATATATGAATAGAAAAACACACTACCGTGTTGATACTATGGTAGAAAAACCCACAATGCACAAACTAGATTTATTGAAGAAAGTGAGACAACAGTTTCGGAATCGTCCTCGATTCTATTCGATTCAGACCCGAGAATGGAATCGAGGACGATTCTGAAACTGTTGTCTCACTTTCTTCAATAAATCTAGTTTGCGCATTTCTACCATATATATATGTACACACACATATATATATGTATATACACATATACATATACATATATATACATATATATATATATAATATATATATATATATATATATATATAGATAGATAGATAGATAGATAGATAGATAGATAGATAGATAACATTCTTTACAAAGGATGTGTGACAGAGATAGTGTATGTAAAACGTTTGTGGATACTTTTCGTTCCCAATGTGATAAAATTTGTATTTATTCATAAATTATCTGTTTTAATAGATTGTACTTCATGGACCCCTATGGTACTTCGTTTATCTTTTAAGTATTTCCCTGAAGAATATTTGATGGGTAAAAAGGATCATTAATATTCCAGGTCACACTGAATTCATTTGTTTGAACTCCTAAAATTTTCATCTAAACTCAAGTAAATCTTCAATTATCGAGGATAATACTCCATAAAATGTATACATATATATATATATATATATATATATATATATATAATATATATATATATATATATATATATATATTTTTTAAATGAGAGCGGAATCATAAACAGAACAATCACATACATAATTAATGAATCATCGCTTTCTTTCCAATTGCTTAAATAAACATACAGTGAGAAACCACCGACGGTTAATGACAACGCCGCCAGAAAGTGATCGTTCCTCCCACTAGGCGTACGGACAAACGCTCCTATCTGAGACGCACTTCTGTAAAGCTTTGTCGAAAACCTCGGTACCGAAGCACACGTACTCGTGCTTTATCATTCTGCCTCCAGACGCAAGGGTGCAAGTGTAAAAGCGCTGGCAATCGCAGAGCGGGTAAACGTATATCCCGACATCTTTGTTTTGGCAGGTCGACTGTGAGCAAGGGGCGGCCGTGGTAGGGGGACTGTAGTAGGTGGGTGGTGGTGGTTACGGGTGGTTGTGGTGGTGGTGGTACGGGTGGTGATGTGGTGGTGGTGGTTACGGGTGGTGATGTGGTGGTGGTGGTTACGGGTGGTGTTGTGGTGGTGGTGGTGGTTACGGGTGGTGATGTGGTGGTGGTGGTGGTTACGGGTGGTGATGTGGTGGTGTTACGTGGTGGTTAGTGGTGGTTACAGGTGGAGTTGTGGTGGTAGTTACGGTGGTGTTGTCGTTGTGGTTACAGGTGGTGTCGTAGTGGTGGTTACAGGTGGAGTTGTGGTAGTAACTGGTGGTGTTGTAGTTGTAGTTACGGGTGGTGTTGTGGTAGTAGTAGGTGGTGTTGTGGTGGTGGTTGTGGTTGGAGGTATTGTGGTGGTGGTTGTAGTAGGAGGTGTTGTTGTCGTGGTGGTAGTTGGTGGCGTAGTCGTCGTTGTAGTAGTCGTTGCACCAGTAGTAGTCGTAAATTGACTCCCGTCGCAGTTGATCCCAGGGCATGTCGGCGTAGAATCAGCGCTGAGGCAGAAGGCACACTCTCCTCCGCCATTCGGGATAGGCACGTACCCGAAGGAGCTGCACGTCACACTGCTACAGTCTCCCCTGAAATATAGAAAACGGGATCAATCATATTCGACCGGGCGGAAGGGGGATCTAAATGCTTTATTTGAATATCTCATGATATTTTTTCTTTAATTTTACTGTGGTTCCCAACCTTTTCCTGTCGAGTGGCACCTGACCAATGTACGATAATTTCCAAGGGCCAATTTAGTGTCTGTCATCGTTTCAGATTCAGTTATTATTAGTTATGAGTTGTGTAGTGGTGCCAATGGCTATAGGACTAGAGCACTGTATGGAAAGTTTCCAAATAATTGATATGTGAGAGATAATTATATGTAGGTCATAATTTTCATATTCCCAATTTGGAAACTCCTTGTGCATATATATATATATATATATATATATATATATATATAATATATATATATATATATATTGTTGTGTGTGTGTGTGTGTGTGTGTGTGGTGTGTGTGTGTGTGTGTGTGTGTGCGTATGTGTGTGGTGTGTGTGTGTGTGTGTGTGTGTGTGTGTGTGTGTGTGTGTGTGTGTGTGTGTGTGTGTGTGTGTTTCACTAAGCCAGATAAGATAGGGCTACTTTGGAATGTTAACTTTGCTCGATAAGGCAACTTTAAGTATATTTTCCAATTATGAAGCATTATTTCCCGATCCTAGAATGTGACTAATATAGCCGACACATACTATATACCACGTCCATATAACAGGTAAAAAGGTCAATGAAATGTACCACTTTTGACCATTTTAACGTAAAAATATTTGTATACGAAGCACCTACAGCGAAGGACATAATACCTGCAGGTGCTTCGTTAAATAATGCGATGGACACATTTTCATCCATCAATAAATACATGATAAAGTCCTTTGAACAATAGGGGTACACGAGCCTAAACTTTTTGAAATTGTACTGCCCATAGGTGTGATAGTTTGGCATTTATCAGGGCGAGGATTAAATACACCTGTTATCATTTCTTACAAAACAGTAATATTACCTCGACTGTAGTAACAAGATAACAAGTTCTATCTCTCTCACTCTCTCTCTCTCTCTCTCTCTCTCTCTCTCTCTCTCTCTCTCTCTCTCTCTCTCTCTCCTCTCTCTCTCTCTCTCTCTCTCTCTCTCTCTCTCTCTCTCTCTCTCTCTCTCTTCTCTCTCTCTCTCTCTCTCTCTCTCTCTCTCATCCTCCCTCCTCCACCCCTCTCTCTCTCTCTCTCTCTCTCTCTCTCTCTCTCTCTCTCTCTCTCTCTCTCTCTCTCTCTCCTCTCTCTCTCTCTCTCTCTCTCTCTCTCTCTCTCTCCCCCCCCTCTCTCTCCCTCTCTTTGTCTCACCCATCTGTTATCATTGATCACAGAATATCACTATCATCGGCAGGTAATAAGGCGATAACGAACTATCAGTAAACATTATTCACAGATAACTAGATAGTAGTTTCTCATACCTGACAGCGGGAAAAGTGCTCAATAGGGCAGTAGCTGCGACCTGAGGAATAAGAATATTGTAATTGAGTTTAGATTATACGATAATGCATTGAGGTCTACACTGTGTACATCATGAAAACTATCTGGAAGTGGGTTGTAAGAAATGCATTTAATTTTATATTGTAAAAAAAAAAAAAATCATTTCATTCATATGGCAATACGATTGTATTTAGTTTATACTGTGGATGAAATATGTATTGTGGATGATGATGAAATGTGTTCAGAAAAAAATATTTGTAATTCATGATGTAGAACTATATCTAATTTGTACGCAATTTAGTCCATAGCAACAAATGATATCTGCAATTCATTTTATGTTATTATATTTACACAATTCAGAAATTATTCATGGTCTCATGTTCTGTGTCAGTTTGTGTATTAACGTCTACTGTGGTGACGAAAATGTTGATATGTACAATATAACTTGTGTTGAAAATAGATTGAAATTAATAATTTATTAATGAGCTGAATGATATATAACTACGGACAAGGATCCATATAACAGGTATACATTGAGACCAGAGCATTTACCGTACTTTTTACTTTTCGGCTGTAAATGCGTTCTAAATAGAAAAGGATTGATATGATACGTTTTGAAATATATAACTGAGAATGAATTACCTCACAGTACAAGAGATATATTTGACAGATTTTGATTATATCTTCGTCAGAAATACGAAAATATAATCGTAATCAGTCAGATACATCTCTTGTCGTATGAAGATATTAATTCTCATTCATACGTTTTCTGCGTTTGTCGCGAAAATTACAGTTCATATATGTAAATTGAAGGAGACCTACTCCTGTATTTGAAGTAATATACTATAATATTCTGCACTGTAGTTTGATATGCTGTATGTGATTATGTTAACCAGGGTGAATAAACTGTAAAGATTTTGATTCTAAGCATTAAAATGTCTCGGTCAACCACACATATTTAATATTATCATGACAATAGATATTTCAAATTTATGGAAACTAAAACAACAGAATTGCCTACGACATATGACATAACTTCTCTAGAAACAGGGTAGTAAATGTAAATAAAGTATAACAGATATTTATTATGGCAGTTGATAGAACCTATCTATATTTAGTAAAATTAAAAGTTGGAAGGGGAGAGAGAGGAAGGAGGGGAGGTGAGATGGGTAGGAGGGAGGGAGGAAGGGGAGAAAGTGGAAAGAAGAGAAAGGGGAGAGAGAAGAAAAAGAGGAGAGAGTAGAGAGAGAGAAGAAAAAAAAAGCAAAGAGAGACCGGCAGACAGACAAGCACACACATACAGAGAGAGAGAGTAACAAAATGAGAGAGAGACAGAGACAAAGATAAAATGTTACATCAAACTACTCACAGCAAAAACGAGTAATTCCTTCATGGCGGCGGCGCTGCTGCAGTTTCCCTCGTTCGGTGTTTATCCGACCCCTCCTCCAAAGATGGCGTACTTCACGAATACGAAAAAGACCCTCTTTATATATGCAGCTTGAGCGGAGTTCAGCCCGAGTCGTGAATCCTGTCACGTTCATGAGAAATTGGTATGCTAGTGTTTTATTTTGCTTAATGTTTCATATCTGCGGTTGTATGCCTTTGTCACTTCCTGTTGTATCAGACTACACTCGAGGCGGTACACACTCAGGAGCAAACAAAATACATATTACTACACAGATAGAGCACTAAAGCTGCAGTAATAAAAAACTGAAAAAGAAACGAAGAAACTGAAAAAACACAATCACAAGAAAACGCACGCACGCACGCACCCCGCCCCCTACATACACACTCACACACTCACTCACTCACTCTTTTTTTCTCTCTCTCTCTCTCTCTCTCTCTCTCTCTCTCTCTCTCTCTCTCTCT